GAGGACGCCGCAGCGCGGGGCTCGTGCAGGCGGCGAGTGCCACGCACCCCCGCGCGGGAAGGGGCAGGCGAGGGAGGTCCAGGGCTTCGGTGCCCAGCGGTGGGTGGTGAAGGCGGCTTGCCTCCCTCTGCCTGTCTTACCTGGAACCAAGCGTCTCCATTCCGAGTCATCCCTAGCTTTCATGCAAAAAGTTGGGCACTTTTCCGGCGACCTACTTCTTTCCTTCCTGTGGCCGGGACTGGGCAGCAGCAGAGTCGGAGCCTGGCAGAAGCGGGTCCACAGAGGAAGGGGGCGTGCAGAGGCCGACGGCGGTGGGGAGCACAGCGCAAACGAGGGCCCCTTGGAGCGCAGTCGAAATTCCTCAAACCCCAGCCGCTGGAATGCCAGGCGACGACTTCTTCACTCGGGGCCAAATGTGTTTGTCATTACTCCAGACCTCCCGCCCGCGCCGCCGTCGCCCCCGCGTTACGGCGCTCCACTCCGGCGCACTGCGGGGCTGGCGCCCGCTCTCCTCGCGCTTCGCGGGTCCCACAAACCGCTGGGGAGCTCCCCAAACCCTCGCCCAAGTCCGCGCCCCCTCTGCTTGTCTTGCAGCCGCCACGGTTGCGCTAAGTCTGGCCCCAGCTCGCGGCCCGCGCTGCGCCGTCCAGTAATTCTGCGCCCTGGGACGGCGCCGACTGCACCAGGCGGGCACTCAAGGTCCGGCCTCCTCCAGCCGAGCCCTTCACTCCTATTCTCCCCGCAACTCCTCCCGCGCCTCCCTCGACACTCTCCTCTCCCCACCTCCCCCGGTGTTCCAGCCGTGCTCCGTGCCACCGGCTGCAACGCTGTCCCGCCAAACCGCGAGCAAAGAATGAAAATACTCATTAAAAACCTGTCGCCTTCCAGAACCCATTGCCAAAAAGAGGGCCAACACCTCTTCCCCCACTCCCAGCATTACTTGGTGCTCGTCCCAGCATACACTAATTCCACCCCAACCCCAAAAGAAACCTCAAAAATGTAAGCCTAAACAATTTCTTTGGGAGGCCATAGAGTTGTTAGAAAAACACTGCTTTTAAAAATAGGTCTGGAAAATGTGTGTTTTTTTTTTAATTCCCTAGACTTTCTAACTCTATGGTTATCTTCCCTCCAAGTGAAGTTTATTCAAAATAAATTACTGTCTGGACACTCCACTGGAATTCCACCCCAATTTTGTTTTGGGGTTGTTGTTTTTTCTCATTGCCCAAAGCTTGAGTGAAATTACTTCACTTCTAGCCCAGAAGGCCTGACAGGGACGTCTTTTAGAAACAAAAATCATTTTTTTTCTTCTCCCTTACCTTCTCCTCTTATGTCAATTCGCAATGAATATCCTACATCTGCAGTAAAAAGTGTGTCCACGGCCTCCAGTCCCCCTGGCAGTCCCCTCCTCTGTTTCTCTCCCTCTAGCTCCAACTGCAATGGGCTCAGAAACCGCGTTTTGTAATTGATTCAATGTTATAGTCCATCCTTCTAAAACTAATCATTTGCTCTAAGTAAATAGCTGTCAGGAAATGAAGCCCCACCCCCCTTGGCGTCTTCAAAATAAAAGTTTCCTCCAATCTCCCAACCTTCAGATGGTGTTTGCCCTGAGCTCTTACGCGACCAGGGGGTCCTGCCCCAACCCCCAGACTTTCGACAACAACTGGGGGGGCGGGAGAAGCAGACCAGATGGGGTGGGGGTGGTGGGAGGGAGGAGGTGTTGATGCTCTGCCGGGAAAGATGTTCGTGAAAATACAAACTGCCCATCATTTCCAGAATGAGTTTGCCTCCTGGTTTGGGGGGCATCACCCTACGCTTAGTCTTCTCTTCGAAAGGAAGACAACCGACACGTAAAAATCGCACGCAATGCCCAGAGAGAATATAAGCCTGGGATGGAGAAGCGCCCTTCGGTAGACGCTCCCGGCCCGTCTAGAAATAGGGCGGTTTCGGAGAGGTCTCCGAGCGGTTGCGCGTCTTGAACCTGGTCTGTTAGGAAAAGGGCCCTGTAGCTGCTAAGCCTTTAATGGGATTAGACAAACTGTTGAGTCCCATATGAAGACGGTGGGGTTTTTGTTTGTTGTCTTTTGTTGCTGTCTCTTGGAGAACTGGCTTGAAAGAAAGAAAGGGCACAAAGAGCCCAGGGTCTGCGTGGGTTTGGGGACGACTCCGAAAGGGACGACCTTTCTCCGCTGGAGGCACTTATCTTGTCGCGCCTTTGTTTTCGGGGGTT